GCACTACTGTAAAATGCATAATAACACCCTTTGACGGATGTCGTCTATAGAAAGTCAGGTATAGGTTCAGCAGGGTTGAGGAGGGTGAAAGTGAGACTTGGAATTGGAGGTGACCCTTACCGGAGTTCCTGTTTGCCTAGGGAAGGTCGTTTTAGCCAAATTTTCTCGAGCCCGACAGAGCGAGAAATATCAAGCAGAAAATGACGGGTGAACAAGCGATTGGGCAATACAATCGGCAGAGAGAATCGAGGACAATGAATGAGGTAAGCACCTCAGCAACAAGATCAATGACTCTCAGTGCACCAGTGAGGAAACACTTATAAGACCCGCTTACTTACCTGTTGTGCAGCTGAGCTCACTGTGCTGATTTCTGTTTGGAAACCGGCATCTGATATAAGCTTCACGGCAAAATTAAGCATAAGGCAATTCGGATATTGGTCCATAAGTTCGTAGAGAAGTGTTCGCCATCGTCTGGAAATAGTCCAAGAATTATCAGCATTCATCGCCCTATTGGCAGTTTACTGTTACAACTCCTTACTCGCAATCAAATAGTGATAATGCAAGAATGGCTTTGTAAATCACCTAACCTCGCATCGTATCATTATAAGCTCGCTGTAAATTTACTAGTACGTGCTTGGGCAGGTGAAAATACGGTCGAGTAAAGAACGTCCGTCGAGCTAGTCCGTCTTGTCAGTCAAGCTCTCTGCGCGATATTCAAGCTCTCGTCACCCCAGCGAGCTTACAGTCTTCTGCGCGTAAACTCACTCTGCGGCGATACCTCCCACAGTAAGAGCCATGGGTAGAGAAGTTACTCGCGTTGTTCCCCTGCTCTTAGGTACATCGTAAGCTAACTGTGCAAGCTCGTGGTGTGTGAATAATCTTTAAGTATAAATTTCTTTCTGCTTTTTGTAAGCGATTACTGAGCAAATCACACAGTGCAACTATTGTTCGACGTTGGAATCCTGGACTAGGAAATTAGAACATAAATCAAGAATTTCGAGTAGGTCGCCTGTGAAATTGCTGGAATGAGGTCTAGGCTGCAAAACCACAACCAAAAAAATTGGGAATACAAAAGCAAACGAAATATCGAGAAAGTAGCGAGAAGTAAAAATCCTAACCTATGATTAATAAGCTCAGGTAACCATTCGATAACGAGTTTCAGTTCCGTACCGCTTAAAAATTCGTATCGGCGATTCCTGTGAGATGTTTTGCGATCTTAACTGGCCAATGCGTGTCTCCACAGCTTTTGGCAGTCTTTTATGAACCGTTACTTGATAGTAAGAGGACGATTATCTCATCGAATGATAGGTCAAAATCAAATCTATATGAAACAATAAGAAATAACTATTTCGATCTAGATGAGCGCGCCTTTTTGAATTCTCCCCCTGAGAAATTGAGATTTGTGCTTGAAGTCTCGCTGCTGTCGCTTACTGGTTTGAAACATCTTCAACAAAACAGAGCAGCAGATTCCTGCTTCGTCTAGCCCGAATTACAAACAGATAAACCAAATACAAACTCTAGAACCCACCCATTCTGCCATAAAATGGTTCCAGTTTCTTCTCCACATCATGCTTTTTCGACGGGCTTTTCGGTGTATCACTTTCTTTAGCTTTCTCCTCTTCTTTCTGTTTTCGCTCTTCTTCAGCTTTCTTTGCCGACTGCTTCGCTCCACGTCGACCTCGCTTTGCCTTCTTTACCGGTGCTGTTGGTTTTGGGTCCTCAGGTTGAGGGTCACCCAGCGCCACTAACCAGTCCGACATGTTAACTGACTGAAAGCGCAATTCATCACCCATCCAAGAAAAACAAGTGAAGCATAACTTTAAGAAAAATTTAAATGGTGCTAAGTTTAACGGGGAGCACAGAAATCAACGCCCAGGTGAAGGGCCGGCATCAGCCATTGAGAGTTCGGTTTGGACGAATCACAAGGTTTTGGTTGTTTTTCGTGGTTCCGATACTCAGCAGTATCCCCTTACGATTCCTTTCTCTACAACCCCTCCCCCTCCTCTCTACGCACTGGATTGCACTTAGGTACTTGTTCTTCAACTATGAAGAGATTGTATGTCTGAAATGGAACTCCGTTAAGTAAGTCTGAAAGTTGTGGAGCAGAATGCTTCTTATTAGGATGTGCCACCAACCGGACGCTCGATACAAATTAGGATAGAAGATTCAAGAAGTCCGCGATAGGAATCTTCTATCAACTCTGCGTGAAGTATGAAGGGTGAGAAGGGAATGAACAGCAGATATAATAGAATTCTTGGTAAGCTTAGAAAATATATAAGAGTTCCGCTTACTGCTACATATACACCTTCCCCCGGCTATAGAATCGATGAGAATCATTTTCAAAAAAAGATGTGGTTGTTATTATTGAAACCAGCTGAGATTGAAGTAGAAATCGTTGAAAATAAGTGGAGGTAGGGTCCCAGTAAGGCAGGAACAATGTACCAATTCTCGAGATTGCTAAATGCCATTACACATAGCAACGCGGCAGTCTTTACCGCTTCTCAAGCCTCCAAACTTCCCTACTTGTCATTCGTTCTCCAAAATAGTTCACATACCGAAGTGGAGCAACAAATAAATCAGAGTAAAACAAAAGCAGGTCAATATTCAAGCAGTGATTTTGGTTTAGTTACATACCTGAGCATAGGCATGATAACCAGTAACCAATGAAGATATGGCCGTATCTGAGCAACCGCAACCTTCTTCCAGATAAATCCGTAACGATTCCAGAACACCTGGTTCCATGACAGCATCTTGAGCTGAAACGCCCAACAATTCATATAATACATGTCTTGGCGCTACCACAAGATACGAGGACATCCTTAGGACTAAGCCTAAAAGTAGGCAGGCATTGCGGGAAAAAAAACGAAAATAACTCGCTCTGAAGTCTCTTCTCCCCTGCCTAATCCTTAGCCGCGATTTCAACAATAAGGAGATGTTTTACGCGATTCTGACTGCATTGCCATCAGAATGCCCAAGTATCTTGCGATAGCGACTATTCTTACAGTGTACTTCGCCTTTTGTTAACCTTCAAGCGATAGTGAGCGAGAAAAACCAAATTACGCGCTGAATTACGGAAGAGATTGCAATAAAGAGCATTACTAATCGTCACACTGCATAACCTTAATAACTACTGTGTAGCCTTATTCCACTTTTCGATTTTTTTCGATCTTTTACTTTCACAAGGCAATCACCTGACTGAGATAATAGCCACGATTAAAAAAATTATAATAAATAATGTGTGTAACTCAGCAGCAATCGAATCCATACAACCAGCTACTCTTTCTTCAGCATCAACACACCAAAATTATAACGATTCAGTTGCTCTCACTTCAAGGCATAACCCAAGCAGAGGTCTTGCGAACGCATCCCTTCGCTCTGAAGTATAGACTCTCTGAGGACAATGGACAACAAATTGTGGCATTCCCGTGCACGGAAACCAACCGACAAGAGCGCGAGGCCCCTTGCAAATCAAGCTGCTGAAGCTGCAGATTTTTTTCTCTTATCAGGCTGTTGTCTGGCGCTCTCTCATCTGTAGCGCTCTCTCGCCTCATACTCTCCTCTCCGCGCTTAGTCTCTCATTCCCTTAGCACAGCCGATTAGGAAGGTGAGTGAGCCCTTAACCTGAGCGTTTTTGACGGATGGATTCTTTTCCTTTTTCTTTAAGCACCGCCGATTTTTGCTACCAATACATTCGCATTCGTGTGCAAGAGCCACACAATGAGATCCTGGGGCATGTCTTTAATCCTAATAAAGACACTCTTTCTCGAACTCATTCCAATCTTTTTTTTTTACAAAAATAAGCTCGCTTCCTATCAGACTCCCAATGAACTTCTACTACGCTTCTTTCACAACACAGTGATTACAATCGTTGTCGAATCGCATACCCCTTGTGCTGCCGTTCCACATTTTATAAACTCAGACGCCTTCACTTTACCAGAATATCCCTAGTCGTTCAGCGCATATCTGCTTCTCCTGAGCTCCTCTGTTGATCACAAATTCATTTGAATCAACTCACCTTTTATGAACTGTAGCGCCTCATCGGGCGTCATCTCCACGCTTTCTTCTTCTTCATCCATCGTGAGCTCAAATCGATATCTCGATCAATAAATCCATAGTGTTCCACGACTATTACACAGTATGTTCAACATAGGTATCACCAGCACTACGCCAACAACAGTAACACG